ATACATATATAAGGATGTAGATTATATGTATGCTATATATGTAACATATTGTCTATAATTAGATTAACTACATAATAACTATGTTAGAAAAAAAAAAAAAAAAAAGGATTTTGCAAATGTAGGAAAGGAATTTACCAAACAGTATGAAGTTCTTTCTGGTTTCACTTTATCCTATGAATTCTGTTTCTTTAGCAGCATATAGATCCCTAACACTTTTATTGGAAGTATTGCTTACGTTCAAATCTGACATTAAATAGATGTAATTCTGAACTAAGGAAAGACTGTGCTGAAGGAAGAGATGCCTAAGTATCCAGGTTTAAATGTAGCATTAGATACATTTTGAACAGCCATGGTCTGGTGTACAAACGATTTTATTTCTTTCATGTCTTTTCCAAAGGGTGGCTAGTATATCTTACCTTATAAAGATCAAAGCTTCCAGGTGGGTCGATATTAATGTGTCTCCAAAGTACACCAAGTATGTCTTCTCAAACACAGGCTAAGATAGGCTCCACCATGTGTAGATCAGAAGCCAGCGTGAAGGCTGTAGCTCAGAGGAGAGGATGAGGGGACCAGATGGGCTGATGTGTGGTGGAAGAGGAGTTGTCCTGTGAGAGGCTAGGCAGCAGCATGGCTGGTACAAGGCATGGCTGCATGGGACAAGTGTTGTGCAAAGCAGTGGAGGGACAGGAAGGGGTGAAAGTGTAGGGGTGAACTCCAGCAGTAGTACGATACAGTTGTAAAAGATTTTCAGATAGTGAGAAGGGGAGATGACCTAACCACAGCAAGGGTATTTTGGAGAGGAGTGGGTGAGAAGAAGAAACATTGAAGCTAGAGCAAAAGGCATTTGTAGTGGTCTGAACAGCAAACTGATGTGTTTTGGTAGTGGCAGCAAGGAAGAAGGTGATGGAACTGAGCAACACGAAATGGGAATGTCTGAAGACAGGATATATATGATGGCTAGTGGATAGTGCTGGAGATGAAGACAGAAGCTTGCCCTTTGTGAAATAACTGTTCCGGATGCCAGGTGTGGTAATCATCCAGAATCAAATAAGGTATAGCTTAGTATTCCCCTGTGAACATTACATTCTTTGTTATCTTTGATTCCTCTCCAGTAAGACAGGGTTTAACCTTCTTTTTGGATCATGTGGGAATTTTCAAATGAATCAATTGTTTGGCCAAGCTAGCTGCCAATTTCCCTTCCTTCTGTAAAAACTTTGCTTAAATTATCAGTAATTTATTCTTCTGGAGGGTTGTAAGGAGTGGGTTATGAAAAAGCTGCTTTTTGTTGTATCCACACGAGCTTTAAACTCCATCTTTTCCTCTTGTTTTTTTTTTTTTTTTTCCTTCAACCATTATAAGACAAGGAATTATGAAATTTTTCCTCATGACTGTAGGTTACGCAGTGTGATCAGTTTAGGATGTTCCTCTGTCCTAACTGACTCTAAATTAACATTTTTTTAAAAGTAGCACTATAAGCCAATGGCTACAATTTGAGCTTGATCTTTTTGTTTCAAGAGTAGGCTTATGAAATGAGAAATACTGCCACAAAATATCTCTCCTGTTTCACATACTTAGTACAAAGAAAATGTGAAACTGTCTGGCTATGTAGTCCCTCAGCCTTAGGTGTCCAGAGGGTATAGAGGTGTTTTGGGTGTTGTGGCCAGAAGTGCCTGTGTGCTCCTGTGTACCAGGCTGCTGTCAGCTAAACACTCACTGGAGCAGTCTATAAAGTGTCTTCAGGGACTTACCCTGTTCCTATCACCCCAAAATAGCCATCCATAGTATTGCTCAACAGAAAAGAAGAGCTGTTAACAACTAACATAAAAAGATTTTTATAAAGAAAGGATTGCGGGAAAGCTGAGCACGCACACGACCAATGTGATCAAGCAATGCCCGTTTATTACAACTAAGAAAGCCCTTTTATAATGTTCTCCCGCACATGTGAGTAACATGCAGAACAAGTCATCAAGATTGGACAGTTAACTTAGCCCGCGCTTTAAACCTTCTTACGATGGGATAAAAAGTGCCACATCAGCCTTGCCAGGCTTCCTGCCTTGTGGAACTTCCTCTTCCGTCCCAACCCCTTCTGGGGGTTGTTTGTCTCATTGTTTCTCCCCCCTCATTCAGGGTCACATCCTTATCGCATTCTTGCTCAGGCTGAGGCTCTTATCAGTCGTGTTCTTGTGCAGGATTGTTCACATGTCCATTCTCTTGCAGAAAGTCCTCTTGAATCCCAACAAAGGATGATAAAATAATAATGATAACAATTAATTATAATTTAATGATGATGGTGATGATGATTGCTATTATGGGTATAACAGTGCAAACCCCAAAGAGAAATAGGAAAAAACACTTGGCAGTTATAATAATGCTTCAGGCTCCTAAAAAGAGTTGGTTATTAGTTTCTGGAGATGACAGGCATGTTTTCTCTTGATACTGAACACCTAATGTTGTTTACATCTGTCCTTACAGGAACAATCATATCTAAGGAAGATTTTGTGCCTGAAACTAGCCTTTGCATGTTCACTCCTAGTTCAATAGACCTGCCTATATTAAAGAGGAAAACATATTCAGGATTCACATTGTTATGAGTGGTGAGAAAGATGTCTTTGGGGAAGGCATGTGTGATATTGTGGGGGACAGCAAGGCCCTCACTGAAGTAAAGTGTATGTTTTCCATATAATCACAGAATCATCTAGGTTGGAAAGGACCCTGGAGATCATCTAGTCCAACCGTTCTCCTAGCACAGTTCCCACCTACAGCATATCCTTAAGCTCTAAATCGACCCTGCTCTTGAACACCTCCAGGGATGGGGACTCCACCACCTCCCTGGGCAGCCCATTCCAATGCCTAACAACCCCTTCTGGAAAGAAATGCTTCCTAATATCTAGTCTAAAATTTCCCTGGCACAACTTGAGGCCATTCCCTCTTGTCCTGTCGCTTTCTACTAGGCTAAAGAGGCTCATCCCCAGGTCTCTGCACCCTCCTTTCAGGGAGCTGCAGAGGGCGATGAGGTCTCCCCTCAGCCTCCTCTTCTCCAGACTAAACACCCCCAGTTCCCTCAGCTGCTCCCCATACGACCTGTGCTCCAGACCCTGCACCAGCTTCGTTGCCCTTCTCTGGACACGCTCGAGTCATTCAATGTCCTTTTTGGAGTGAGGGGCCCAAAACTGAACCCAGTCATCAAGGTGCGGCCTCACCAGTGCCCAGTACAGGGGTCAGATCCCTTCCCTGTCCCTGCTGGCCACGCTATTGCTGACACAAGCCAGGATGCCATTGGCCTTCTTGGCCCCCTCGGCACACTACTGGCTCCTGTTCATCGGGCTGTCAATCAGCACCCCCAGGTCCCTCTCTGACTGGCAGCTCTCCAGCCACTCCTCCCCAAGCCTGTAGTGCTGCTGGGGGTTGTTGTGGCCCAAGGGCAGCCCCCGGCATTTGGCCTTATGGACACTCCCCCAGTTGGGCTCAGCCCATGGCTCCAGCCTGTCCAGGTCTCTCTGCAGACCCTCCCTACCCTCGAACAGATCAACACTCCCACCCAACTGGGTGTCATCTGCAAACTGACTGAGGGTGCACTCGATCCCCTCGTCTAGATCATCAATAAAGGTGTTAAACAGGAGTGGCCCCAACACCGAGCCCTTGGGGACACCACTCGTGATCAGCCGCCAACTGGATTTAACTCCGTTCACCACAACTCTTTGGGCTCAGCCATCCAGACAGTTTTTTACCCAGCGAAGTGTGCCATTGTCCAAGCCATAAGCAGCCAGTTTTGCCAGGAGAATGCTGTGGGAAATGGTGTCAAAGGCCTTGCTAAAGTCAAGGCAGACAACATCCACAGCCTTTCCCTCACCCAATAAGCAGGTCGCCCTGTCGTAGAAGGAGATCAGGTTTGTCAAGCAGGACCTGCCTTTCACAAACCCATGCTGTCATGTGTTGCATGATGGTGTTTAGGATGAGCTGCTCCATCAGCTTCCCTGGCACTGAAGTCAATTGACAGGCCTGTAATTACCCAGATCATCCTTCCGACTCTTCTTATAGATGGGCGTCACATTGGCCAATTTCCAGATGCTTGTCAGGATGGTCAGGGGCATAATTGCTGTTTTCAACCATGGAAGTTTCTGTGTGACCATGTCATGCTTTGGTTCAGGTTTTTACCAGACTTGTTTATGAAGCCAGTGGAGTCAGTGCTGTGGTAACTCCTTTTGAGTAGAGGCAAGGCAGGCAATGTTTGGAAGTGTGAATGTATGACATATTCTTCTGCATGTGTTTTCCAGAAAACAACATTTTGCCAGATGTTGGGGCAATTCTGTCTTATTTACAACAACTGTGACAGCCAGGGACCATGGTGGAGCACACTGTCCTCTTTGAGGAAAAGCAACTTCATCTAAATTTCCTCCCTCAGACATGTCAGACATTTGTTATTGTTTTCTGCTTCTCAGATCCCTTTCCTGTTCTTTTTTGAAGCTATTGTATGACAGATTTTTCTTGGCTCATTTCTTTCTATTTACTATAAAGAAACCCATAGGCAGATATCTGGGAACTAGTATTCTTTGAAACCAGCACAGTCAGTTATACAATTACATCAGTGCTTTTGTTTTGTAAACTGAGTCTAAGATCATTGTCAAGCACTTCTGAATTTTTAAATTTTTTTAACACAATGTGTCCTTTTGTAAATAGCAAAATACTTGGGTTCACTGACTTGTCCTGATGCATTTTAAATAAAAAATCAATTATATTTGTGGGGGTCAGAATGAAAGGAATTAGTTGAAAGGCATTGTTTAAAAGGTAGTTTTTAAAATCACCTTTCTTTGTGCAGGCATAAGAAGACCAATGTGATTTTCTAAGTGGAACTAGAAAACTGCAGATTTGTCATTGGATCACAGCATCTGTATACCAGAGTTGAAAAGGTTATAATAAACTTGCATCTGAAGTATATATCAATGGGTTTGTTGGAGATGAGAAATTTACTGCATGTTTCTGAAACTTCTTTAATTTTTCAGGGACAGGTGACTATACATGCAAAATTTGACAAGGAGATTTACCTCCCAGAGGATGCTGAGTTTTATTTTGTTTACGATGGATCCCTGAAGAGGCACATAATGTTTGCTGAACGAGTTAGTGACAATGCTCTTCAGTCCATTGTTCCAGGTGAATGTTAATTCCTGTTTATTATTTTAAATCTTTTTGCTATATCCCACCCCCATTGCAAAGCTGGGCACAACTGGATGATTTGATATAACTCTGGTTTATGTCTCTGTAATGGAGGAAATGCAGGAACTGAATTATGATCTTTAGGGTCCAATCTGAGTTTAACTGACCATAGGTGATCCTGCCTTTCATAGCAATGCACACTGGCACAGTATCAGGCATAGACCCTGTTACTGGGCTTGCATAGTTGGGTGTGCACTTGAAGTGCAGTCTTCAGGGATGGCATCATTTTAAAGTGAATTAATTGTGTGCCACAACTGTTCACCTCTGGGCATCCTAACATCTGCAGAAGTCATGTTTTTTGTCTGAGCCTTCCCTGGGTGCAGCAGTCATCCCAGCTTGCAGGGCCCTTATGGTGGAGATGTGCGATGCTTGGAGCTCTGCTGGAGCTGTACACAGTGCAGACATGTCAGGAAAACTGTTCTAGGGGTGCCTTGCTGCAAACAGGGGAACTTTGTGTTGCTACAGCTGGTACTCTGCCTTGGCATTGTTCCTCTCATGGATGTAACATAAACCCTGGTTGTCACCTTTATAGTGTGCTTTGTGACCTTTTCATTTGTGTGAGTAGGTGGCTATAGACATGCTGTACCTGTGCAGTAGGATCAGCTTGTTATTTGTTCTTGCTTTCTAAAGAGGATTTAGAGCCTTAAAATAACTGCTGAGTATAAAAAGGGAAAGTTCACTGCTGTTACATGGTGGCTCCTTTGATCCTATAAATGGTAAATGATTGTCAGGGATTACAACTGGACAAGATGTAATGTTAGGCTTATTTCAGGATTGCAAAGTGTTTTTTTTTTGTTTTTTTTTTTTTTTGTTTTTGTTTTTGTTTTTGTTTTTGTTTTTGGTTTTTTTTTTTTCTCGAAGAGGCCTGAAATGACACTGTTAAATGGTTGGTTCTGGGCTAGGAATAAAAAGGCTACAGGCAACCCTCTGCCTGTTCCCAACAGAAGCCATGAACAGCTGAAAATAAAGTGTGAGGTTAAAATATAGCCCTGCTGATGTTAGTGTTGTTTTGTAGTGGCCAAATTAAACATAAGCAGAGCACTTTAAAACCAACTACAGATGTGGTAAGTACATGCTTTCTTTTGCACTTACTACATTGCATATATACTTGTAGTTAATCAGGAGTATTTGGGAAAATTTAGATTTTCACCCATAGTATGTCATGGTTAGCTCTCCAGTGAGAGATACAGCTTGCACCTCTTTTAGATGTATATGGGGAGGAGGAATGCATGAGATGCTTAAGATGTTTGAGAGTTCCTTGGACTTCGAAGGTCCCAGCTGTTAGAGTTGATACAACATTTAATTGTTTACCAAAAGCACAAAGCATGTATTAGCTAAAAGCTTCTGGTTTTGGCCTGTATGGAGATACTGGTTAGGTACAAAATGGGTGTTAATAACTCGATATATTACTCAGAGTTCATGTTGCAGCCCACTCTGCCAGTCTTTTAATGAGTGTCTCATTTTTCTTAATTCTTATCCGAGAACCTTCAGGCTTTTGATTTGTGGGATTTCATCCTTACCTCTTCTTCCCATTGTGGTTATTGAATCTTCACCTGAAAAGCTAGAATTAATTATGTCAGTGTAATTGGGAGGATTGACAGTGAATAGTCTAGTGGAATCCAAGTTCATCAGCAGAGATGGTTGGTGGATGCCCTACAAATAGGTGTAATTAGAGGGAGGAACAAAATAGTTCTGGATGAGAAGTCACAGCTCTTAGAGGCAGGGTAAAATGAGAAAAAACTAATGTATTTTCTGAACATAGGTAATGTTAGTAATTAATTTACATTATAATTGCAGGGCATGGATGCCAAGAAGCAGTTTCGGTCTCTGTGTTAATGTACACAAAGGGATACTCACCTGTGGTTCTTGGCAGCTGTCCTGTCACTTACAGAGAGAATCTGTCTTGCAAGTTGTCTCGCTTTCTGGTCAATCACACAGAATGTGTCACTGCTGCTACTCACAAGATGTTGCTGGATAAGTTTGGTCTAAGGATAAAAGATCTGCAGTCCCTGGATAATGATTTGATGATGGCCATTGCTCTTGAAGAATTGCCATTGACCTGGAATATCCTTGGAAGCTGCTCAAAAGGTGGTAAGGTTTCAGTTTAAGTTGGAAAGCTTTTAACAGTGGTTTGGTGCACAGTTCAGAGCAGAGTATCTCACCATTTTATCCAGGTTCTCAACTCTTATGTTTTATTTTGTGGTTAAGATGAAATTGTTCAAGTATGAGAGGGGTAATCAGAGGTTTGGTTTGTGCCCAGAGTTTTTAAAAGGATAATAATGGTTATTGTAGCTCAGTCTCTCCAGAAGCTTTTTATGCCTTGACTCACTGTGAATGCAGTTCTTTATTTATAGACTCTGCCTTTGCAAGATTAAAGAACTGTCTGTTTAAAAAAAGCAAGAATTATAGCAGTGAAGCTTTGCTGCCATGGTTCCAACCAAGTGAGATATTTTAATTACGCAGACAAAAAGGAGACAGTCATAAACAAGAAGAATGTGTTACTGTAGGCATTCGGATGTACAGAGTAAACACAATTTTTATCACAGTTCTGTCTGTGTTTATGCTTTATTTATGACTGTGGTCATTCCTTGAGGAGAAGATCATTAAAGAAGTTTTGTAGGTTTTTTTTTTAATTGTGGAGGAAGCAGGATGAAAATATACAGGAGACTTTACTTTAGGGTATGCTATTGAAAAATTTTGTTACAAATATAGGTGAAATTTTCCTTGTTTCGGGTTTAATTGCAAACAGAAACCTTCAGTTAGGTTTTGCTGAAGAGTATAATTTTATTTGCAGACCCAGCTGATTTATAGCTGAGGTTGGAAAGTGTGTTAAACTTGATGGCTTCACATGTTTTTCATTGAAAATTTGGTACTTTTGGCTGTTTTGCTTTTAGTACTTTAAATTGCTAAAAATTGGAGGGCAGGCAGTTTCCATATGAGCCAAACTGAAAAAGAGATTCATGCAAGCTTTTGCAAAGTAAAAACACAGCACTTAGACCTTTTCTTTGGGTGAGAGCATTTTTCCCATCTTAAATCTTTCTAATTCTTAATGACAGATAGTTTGAAATCTGCTACTGCCTTCCTCAGGAGAAGGTTGGTTTGTGTCTGTCTGCTGTAAACAGCTCTTTCAAGAGATATAAAAACAAATAGCAAGACATTGAAATACTGGCTAGACAGAAGAGAGAAAAAAAAATTGTTACTTGTTTCATTTCGATGTGTAGTAAATATTTGTTCACATTACTCAACTGCTGGCATGGCTGTTGGACCTTAGGAGAGCAATGAAGACCTTCATTCAAAGCCTGAAGCAATCAGTTGTAGTTTTGTCCACAGACTTGTCTCAGCTTTTCACCAAAACCAGTTGAAGCCCAACCCAGAATCATCAACAGGTTACCAGCCAGCTGCTATCCATGGCAAAATTCTTTAATTTTTAGTTATGCTAATTGTTAGTTTTCAGGTGTACTGCAACATTTATAAGACAAAGTGTATGTTGCCCTCATGACACTTTTACAGGACTTATGATTTTTTGTTTCTATGTCTTTTTTATAATTTGTTCACTTTTCAGATTTAAATATTATATATAAACGAAATTTCAATACAGTGGAAAATCAGGGGGGGATGTACTCCAGTCACTATGCAAAGTCTCTGTGAACATTTGAAATGTCAGATGAACATGTCTTGAGCATGCTGCATTAGTGGTTGCCTCATGGGCACTGTTGGACTGAAAAGGTGACATCTCCCGTTGTACCCCAGTCATTGCTCTTAAATGAAGCTGGGATCTTTCCCCTTGTTTCTGAATAAAACAAAACCTGATCCAAATTCCTGAGGCCTGGTAGTGAAGCTTATGCACAGTGAGGAGCTCTCAGTGCAGTCCTGCCTGGGCAGTGCTTACTGGCCACTCTTGTTGAGTGGAGGGCTCCCGAAAGCTTTCCAGACAGCTTCTTCAGCCAGGGAAGATCAATCATACTCTGTCTCTCTCTGAGGTCTGGGCTTGGGCTGGGCCTGACATCTGTTTTGATATCCTCTACGCAGTTTGTATAATTTTTCTTTGGCTGCTGTATCCTCTCTCTCCTTCCTGAAAGTATAGTTCTAATTCTTCTTACAGCCATATTCTCCTTTCACCTGACTCTGAGAAGCACTGACTCATGTTGCTTCCTCATGCTGTTGTCCCCAAAGCCAAGAGCCGATGAACAGCTGAGGGTTGCATGTGGCTGAGGGAGCTATATTTGTGCAGGGGAAGGAGAAGGAGGAAAAAGGGGATGAACTGTGTCAGGAGGGCTTCATCTCAGCACAAGTGAGAGAAATAGATTGTTCTTTGCCTTCCGTGATTAAGTGTTGTGCCAGCGCTTTGTTTCTTTCCCATGCTCCAAAAGATCAAAATGGATGAGAAACAGGGAATTTATAAGGATTTAGAGAGAGGAAGAGACCTTCTTTCCCTGACTGCTGTCCCTGAAATTCTTTGCCCCAAAAGTCTGATGGTGTCTTGACACTTGACAGTGTCTGGATGTTCTTTTTAGTATTGGTGTTGTGAAAGACATGGGTGCTATCATCCATCACTAGTTAAGACCTCATGCTTGTGAGATCTGTCAGTTTTCAGAGCTGCTGTGCTATTTTTATTGGAAGAAAATAACTTCTCAATGACACATTTCTAGAGAAAATTATTGTACCAGCTGGTGTTTTTGGACCTTACTCATTTTTATGAGGATTTAGAGGCAAATGGGTTGATGGAAAGATAGAAGAATAATTTATTCATAGGAGTTTTGGTATACGGAAAAAAGTGTTTGTACATTCCCTTTATAAGGTATAAAAATGATTGAATATAGTCTGGATTGTCTAGGGAGCATTGCAAATAATTCAGGAATTTAGTGCAGTTGCACAGGTCAGGACTTGTTAGCCACATTATTTAAAGTTCAACAAAAGAAAGAAGGAACCACGAACATTTCTCTAATCCTCACTTGTAATAAGTTCCTGTGTGTCAACCGTGTCAGGAGCTGCTCACTCACACAAACTGCTGAAATCACCTGGACCAAAAGCAGTTTGCTGCTAGAGGAAACTGGGGCCCCAACAGAGGTGCAATGCTTAGACATTTGTTGGTTGATTTGAAGGAGTGGTAGGGAGGAGGGTGAGGGAGAAGCTGATTTTCTTGTTGATTGCACCTTCATAAAGGACATTTTCATTCAGAAAATTGACTTATTCAATTTATGGAGATAATCAATATTAAATATTAATCCAAATAACTTTTTAGAGCTGCTAAAACAAAAAAGAGAAATTTCCCACAGTTTTTAAGTTTACCAAAAAAAAAAAAAGAAGAAAGATTGAATGGTTTAATCTGGATGAGAAAAGTGCTTCCAAGCAACCATTCCTCTCTTAGTACCTTCAGATTAGGGAATTCTTCTAGGATTGGCAGCACTCAAGGATCATCAAACGTAGGTTCAGTGTCTTCATTGCAACTTTTTTGTCCTTGACACACTCAGTCTTATGTCCCTTGGTTGTTGGAGGGGGAGTGGGAGCACATGAGTGTGGACCTTGCAAAGGAGTCCGTCTTACATACAGGAGGCTGAGGGCATCTCAGTTTCTGGATGTTTTAAGGGCATTGCTGGGAGCGTGGGTTCAGGTTGTCTGGGTGACTTAACTGTGCTGGTAATCAAATGAGAGCAGTTGCTTTTAATAGGGGCTTTGCCCCTATTTGCAGTTATTTTCAAGAGGAAGAGTGCTCTTTTAGGTTTAAGACTATTAAGAGAAGCAGTAAAATTATAGCCTGAATTATAAAAATTAACTGTGGATTGTAGAGTAAGGAGCAGTGTCTATAGTTGTTAATTCCCTTTCATGAAGAAAGAGAATTTCAATTTTATTTCATAAAGGCTTCATAATTGTTTTCTAGGAATATCTAGGTCTTGTGGTGTGAACTGAATTACCGAATTTCGCTGCTTTACAGTCTAACTTTGGAGAACACTTCCATTTTCTGTGACATTTTTTACTTTATTGCCCCCTCTCTGCCCTTTGTAAATCCTGTTACTGTTTTCACTTGGTGTTAAACATTTTCCTGCTAAGATGCACCAGTTCAAACCTGGCTGATACATGTCATATATTTGATCTAAATTAAACAAAATTCTGTGTCTTTTCCTTAACTGGAGCTTTAGATTTCTTTTTCCCTGCAGAAGGAAGTGGAGAAGAGGACAAAGTGCTTGTTCTCCTTTATGGAATTAGGAAAACACTGGCAGCAGCAGATAAATGTTTCTAGGTGTGGTGAGATTTGTGAGGAGAGGTAATATTGTTTCGGTCAGACAGTTTATGGGATTACCTGGTAAAGGTATGAAGAATAGAACTAACTAAAGAAAAGGGGGACGTGCCACATATTTGTTAAGTGGAAAGGGGAGATGTCAGCGCAGCCCTGCCTTCAGATGGGCTATCACATACCTGACTTTGTGCATTGTGGCCACTATTCACAAAACTGTGCGTGTTTTTGCAGCAATGGGGTGCACCGAAGACTACTTTATGAATAATCTCATACCTAACAGAAAAATGAGAACATGAACAGTAATGCATAAAAGTATGAGCCAGGAAAACCTGGAATTTGTCAGTGAATTTTGATGTCTCCCCCTGCTTCTCAAGTCACAAGTCTCGAGGCTTTTAGTCTCCTTCCAGGAAATGAACGAGATTCATAGCCCAGAAAGGGCTTAGTCATTTCTGTCAGAGAGAAATACTTGGTTTTATTTTATTGTTTTGGATATAAGAAGGGATTCAGGTGCAGGGAAGAACAAAAGGATTTATTTAATGTTTAAAACAGACTGTGTTTGGCTCAGCTTGGTGTAACTCAAGAGTGTTTTGGCTGGAGAATGGGATGTGATGCAAAACAATGTCCTGATAATGTGTATCTTTTACAGCGCCACCCATCTTGCAGTAGCTGGCCTAGTATGAATTGCTGGATTTGTGTCTTAATGGAAAACAGTATTTTGTTCCATTTAAATATGAATATGTTAAAGAAGCCTTGTGTTTTCATTTTTTCTTTATTTTCTTCCTGTTTGCTGCTGAATGCAGTTAATTATGTTGTTTTTTCATACCATGTTTTCTTTTTTTATTTCTTGATGTTTTTC